TGATTGTATAGAAACGGGCGTATCACCGAAAAAGCAAACCTGCTTTCGTAATTATATGTGTGGATTTAAAAACTGGTGCAACGGTGATACTACTGATGGGAAAGGTGTGAAAGTAGTATGTTTCCTGCCTGTAAATTCGCTTTACGTCTCCTGTAGTGGGAGATCTATTGCGGAATTTGTGGAGTCACTTGTAGCATTTAGATCTATTGCGGAATTTGTGGAGTCACTTTGTAGCATTTGCTTGGATTTGAGCAAAAGTCAATGACTATCCAGGAAAGTTCAGAAAGACGCGTTCATAGAGAAGATGGGTATTCTGTTTTTGTAAACAAGATGTTTCCCTGTCCATTGGTCTGTCACTGGTCAGTTGGCATTTTCTAATAAACAGCTCCTCAGCGAAGGCCTTCTTTCTTCTTACTGGTAGACCACAAGACGGTGAAATCTCAGCCAGACTACTTATTCGGATCACCAAGCATGCCGTTCGTTGAAAGGTATAAGAAACGATTCATTATAGATTAGATATCATAACTGGTCCTTGGGCAGTATAGGGTTCTCTGTTTAGAAAGAACATCTTGCGAGAATACACTACTCACAAGGTTGCTGAAAACCATTCCATTTTGGGGCTCATGAAGTAGACTTAGTCCGCCAGCCTGTGCCAGCCTTATGCTCTACCTGAACTCAAATGTACCAAGTTCACAAATTACAATCGCTCGCGCACCAGTCTGGTTTTTATGAGAGACTCAGCTGGATTCCGGCTGACATACTTCTCTAACTGAATGTGCTGCGTGGCATAAGATACGTAATACAGTACAGTCTACAACATTTATATAAATTTAAATCAACGTGACCGTCCAATGGGAACAAGAGAGTCTTAGATGGCCCTTAGGTTTTTTGAGCACAGGGGACAGGCCTAAAACGGTTAACCAACATGGTCTCAAGACAGTTCAACCACTAAGGCCGCCCGCTTCGTGCTAAGGCCTGTAATGAAAAGCTTAGTTTACCTGTGTGCCTTGTGTAGATTACATGCCTAGCGATCGACAATTCTACCCTGGATTCGATCAGTGTTGGATTGGCATCAGGTGACGTACGTTTTTTTGAGCATGTGCTCGTTTGTTCGCGTTTCAAGCCACCCGTCAGTTCTACGGAGATACTTAGCACCGCAAATGCGGGTGATTTGATCAGGGCAACGAGTTTGAGACAAATATGAAGTTGACATTTTGACTGGCGGTAGTAGTGAAAGGAAGGAGGCATTCTCTGTGGAGTTATTCATTAGAAAATGCCAACTGACCAGTTACAGACTATTGGACAGGGAAGCAAAACTCTCATTTGC